AAGGTGAGTGGTGGGAGGCAGGTGAGGGAGGGCTTCTAGAAGGTGTGGGAACTGGATCCTGAAGGACAAGGGGCAAGGAGTGAGCCCCCAGAAGGAATTCTGGAAAGAGTTCTTGCAGGGTCTGGATGGACATGGGAAGGTGTATTAGTCCATTTCCATGGCTTATAGAATGCCTGAAACTGGTAATTTATAAAGAAACAAAATTTATTTCTTACAGTTTTGGAGGCTGGGAAGTCCACAGTCCTGGGAGTGCCTCTGGTGAGAGCCTTGTTCTCAGTGGTGACTCTATAGCAATGCAGGGTGTCCCATAGCCAGAATGGCCTGAGCAAAAGAGAGCTAACCTTCTCACTCATCAGAACCATGTCCATTACTCCATGAATGAATCAATCCATTCACTAGGGCACAGTCCTCACAATCTAATCACCTCTTAAAGGCCCCATCTTTCAAATACTATAATCAGATTTCCCACCCTCTTAGCACTGTTACAATGGGGTCAAGCTTCAATGAGTTTTGGGAGTACATTCAATCCACAGCAGATGGCATGGCTCCTCGAGGCCACAGGACACCTGATGGCCTCACAGGAGGAAGAAGGAGGAGGAAGGAAAGAGGGCAAGGCCCCAGGAGAGAATAGCTCCCAGCTCAGAAGAGAAGCTATTTATATGGAGAAGGCCCAGCACAGCCTGCAGGGGCCTCTGTGGGCTTGTGCCCAGCTTGCACTGGGCCAGGCTGTCCAAAGCCCTTGCACCCATGGCAGAGTGCTCTCAGGGTGGGGTGTGTGTACCAGGCAGCATATTACCACCCAGAGCCACTGAGCCCTGGGCCTCGTGATGGGTGGGGCAGTGAGTTGTGGGCTTGCAGGGACAAGATGGGAGAAAGGCAGTTCGTGATAGCTTCTTCCTTCTGGGCCCAAGCTGAACAAAACATCCCAGTCAGAGTGATGGGGGATTGCCCAGGTGGTGGGGACGCCATCTGTGCTCTTGATCTTCATGCAGGGAAGGGACTCCCGCAGGTGTCAGAGCTGCACCTCTTCAGCAAGAGTCTCTCCAGGCTTGCTCTGATTCCAGTCTGGGTGCACATGTTCCCTGGGTTGACACGTGTGCCACAGATGGACGCAGCGGGTGAGATTCTGGAATCCACCTCCCCACCACCCACAGGCCAGTCTCCAGGTGCACAAGGTGATGGTGCAGGGAAGCCGAGGTGGCCTCTCTCTGGGGATATGCAGGGCCAACAGGAACAGGCACACTCAGGGTCCATGGGTCTCCAGGGAGCACCCTGTTGTCTCTTTCCTTGAGTTTACCTCCAGTGATCTCTATTCTTCATAATTGAAAGAGCCTGATGAAAATTCTAAGGAATGTTTGGCAGGGGACAGCACGATTCTTCTGTCAGGAGATCCCTAGCCTCCCAGGATCCTTCCGTTAGTACCATGTGGGTGAGCCCCAAGGCCACTTAGGCAGGAGGCTCCCTGACTGTGGCTTGCATCAAGCTGGCAGCATGGTCTGGGCAAATGAGAGAGAGGTTGGTTTAGCCAGAGGCTTCCCAAGACCAAGAGATATTTGCACAGTGACGACAGCTGAGTGCCAGGTGGGGGTTCAAAGGCAGCAATGAGCACTTTGGGACCAGAAAGGAGACCGGGTGGTGGTGGCTGAAATTCCGTTCATATTTATGCCTGCAGATACCCAAGTGAGCAGTGGGGCTGTGTCCTGGAAAATGGCAGGTGGGCTGAAGGTCCATGGGGGTAATAGGGCAGCCCCAAGTCTTGTCCCTAGACTCTAGGTCCTGTCCTGGCATGATGGGTTTAGACACGGGAGCTGGCTCCCTTGCTCTGTAGTGAGGGTCTGTGTGAGCACAGTGTCTGCAGCCTGGGGCCTGGGGTCAGGAGATGCCTGGGGTTCAGCAGGTCTCCACCACGGCCCAACTTTCCAACATTTGACCAATTTAAGGTCAGCATGGCAAGACCCTGGCCAGGAACAGGAAGCCTGAGCCTCCCTCTCTCCACATTCCCTCCGTTCCTTTCCCTGTAGGATGAGCTTTCTAGACCTCTCTCTCAGGCTGGCAGACGATGTAATATCACCTGTGGCCTGAGGTGGCCTTTAATTCTTGCCCAAGGGGGCCATGAACTGGGGGTTAGGGCATGTGACAAGTAATTTGATACCAATTGTTCATCAATAGAGTTTGTGAATGTGTTACCTTAAAAGATCACAGCAGAAGAGAAGCCCTTCCTCACGGGGACAGCAAGGCTGTGCCGTAGCCCCAGCGCAGGGCTGAGGCGGAGGTGGAGGCGGCCAGGCTGCCGGAGGCCTGGGGAGCGGGAGGCTCTGTCTAGACCAGACCTGGTCTAGGGGAAGCCTCAGGGCAGCTGTCTTCAAAGTGGGGTGGCTGCAGCCTTGGGGGTACAGTAGGTGATCCCTTGGGGTACATGAAGAAAATAGAGCTTCTGCGTAAATTTACATCATTCTTCAAAATTTTTTGATGCACGTTTTGACTATTTGTTTGTTGTATTTTTGTTGGCTAGCTGGTACAGGGATTGAACCCAGGACCTTGGTGTTATGAGCACCATGCTCTAACCAACTGAGCTAACCGGCCAGCCCTAGACAGAGTCTATTGGCATGTGGTATAATTTATTTAGTGGGGAGTACTGGTGTGGACTTCTTGGCAGAAGGGGCCCATCAGGACATGGCCGGGGTCCTCCCCCTACTCCTCTCCTGCATGCTGCAAGTGCTCCATCAGCAATGCCCGAGGGTTAGTCTCCCGTTCAGCTACTCCCACCTGTGCCCTGGAAGCAGCAGGGGGCTCAGGCCTGCCTGGACCTCCTCCTACCCACCGCCAGGCTTTGGCCTATCCTCAGCACCCTCTCCAAACCCTGACGGTTCATCCACTCTCACCTGGCAACACCAGCCCAAATCCAAACCTTCTTAGAGGGCCCCTCTCCCAGGCCTCCTCCACAGCCCCTCCAGAGCTGTGTGGCCCAGGCCTTGGCTCTGATGACTTCTCTGGCCTCTCCTCCTGCAACGCCCCTCTTCTCCAGGGCCCAGCTCATGGCTGGTTCCAAGGTTGGGTACTGGATGAATGAACACGCTGCTTCAGACAGCCTGCTTCCCCGTCAAGGGTCTCTTTATTCAATCTGCAAAGTCGCTGTCAGCAACTTGGCCCAGCCCTCTGTGACTTCCAGCAAGGGAGCACTTAAAGTCAAAATGTATCCAGTGCCCTTCCTATCACCAAGAAGTGGATGTGGAGAGGGGGATGGGGGTTAGGGAGTAACTGGGTAAGGGACACAAAGAATAATTACAATTTGTAATGGTGAAACATGCTAATAATATTGATTTGACCATCACATATTGTACACAAATACTGACAGTCAACTCTGTACCCTATAAATATGTGTAATCAATTATGTCTCAATTCAAAAAAAAAGAAAAAGAATTGAACACCAACATCTTTGGGCACCCTGAGGTAAATCAACAGCATTTGCTTTTTATTTTTTTTTCTAACAGAATAGCAGAAAAAATAGATCTCTATCATATATATATATATTTATATACACACATACACAAAGAGAGATCCTTCAACCAAGAGACAAAGGACCTGGCATCCTCCGTGGTGGCCCCGGCCTGTGTGGGAAGGGCCAGCAGGCACTGGCTCTCTTGGGAAGCCCCTCAGGACGTGCTGTGCTGAGCCAGTGTGGTGTGGAGAGGGGTCTCCAACAGCCCTCCCCCTACAAGGAAGACGGAGCCATGATGAACCAGGGCAGCCCCTGCCCACCCTTTCCATGCTTCTTTTTTTTTTTGTCTTTTTGTCTTTTTCCGTGTCCGGCAACGGATCGCAACCCTCAGAGCCATGATGAACCAGGGCAGCCCCTGCCCACCCTTTCCATGCTTCTTTTTTTTTTTTGTCTTTTTGTCTTTTTCCGTGTCCGGCAACGGATCGCAACCCTCA